TGACCTTGCATTCACAGAGATCCTCCTGCCTCAGCCTCCCAAGCGCTGGGAATACAGGTGTACGCCACCACACCTGACATGCAAGTCCTCTTGGAATGGTGATACACTGAACTTTCTTATTTTAATATTTTCCAATCCTTATATTTTTAATTTTAAGTACATTTAATTGCATATTATAATGAGTTATATGTATGCAACAGAATATTTTTACAACATTCCTTACAGATATTTGTGTCATTCACACAGTACATAAAGCCATCAATGAGAATTTAGATACACATACAAAAAAGAGAGAACAACTAGGAAATAAGTCATAATAAATCAATGATCCTTAATTTACATGAAACAGAAGTTTACGGTCATATTTCTGTCTTAAAGGTATAAAAACAGTTAATCTAATCATATTTTATGCTATTTTTGCAGTCCAAACTATTTTCTTACCATTTTCTCTGTGCAACTCTGTACTCCACCTCTGATTATTTATGTATATGATAACTGTATTATCATATAAATTCTTTCACAGATTAGGTATGATAGAAAAATATATTTAAATTTTAAAAAGTTATGACAAAAGATATGTCATTAACTGCCCTCAAAACATCTTCCCATTTGAAAAACACTTATTCTATCATTATTACCACCTTTTTTCACTGTGTAGCAGTATTACTGAGGAATAACTGACATACCATTTTTTTTTTTTATTTTTCCGGAACCAGGGATTGAACTTAGGCCCTTGTGCTTACCAGGGAAGCGCTTATTCCACTGAGCCATCTCCCTGGCCCCTACTATAAATTTTAGTACCACACATAATTTAATAAATGTCAACACATATACGTGATCATGAAATCATTACCACAATCAAGACAGTGAATATATCAATCACTCCCAAAATTATTTCTTTTTCATTTTTCATTAGGGAAGGGTCTATAGGATGTCCAGGGTCTCACTACTAGATTGGACTCATAGTCATCCACCTGTTTATAGCCTCCCAAGAGCTGGGTTTATAGGCATGCGCAACCATGCCCAGTCTCATTCGCTGTCTGCCGTCTCAGTGTGCTGCAGCAGGCACTTTAATCCACTGAGCTATTTGGCCAGCCCCCAAAATTATCTTGTACCCCTTTGTAATACCACTCTTTCTGCACACTCTGCATGTCTCAGGCAACTATGGACTTGTTTTTGGTCACTGGAGATTGGTTTGCATTTTCTGAATGCTTATATAAATCTAATCATATAGTATGCAATCTTTTGTTTGGCTTCTCTGCAGCAATGAAACTCAGCTATGGTGGTCTGTGTTTCAATAGTTCTTTTACTACTTAGTATGCTATTGAATGTGTATACTCCAATTTGTTTATTTATTTTTTTAAAGGTTTTAATTTTATTTATTTTTATTTATTTATTTGTGTGTGTGTGGCCAGCTCAATCCACCAGGGGGCAGGGCTGGCTGGCATGTGGTGCTGGGGGATTAAACCGCGGTCCCTGTGCTTTGCTAAGTGTGTTCTAAGTAGGTGCTTTAGACCACTGAGCCATCTCACCAGCCCTCCAATTTGTTTATAAATTAATCTTTTGATTGATATTTGAGTTGTTTCTAAAAGGTTGAATATTACTATGTACATTCACATGCACTTCTTATATAGATGTATACTTTTTTCTCTTGAGTAAATACCAAAGAGTGAAACAGCTGAGTCATGTGGTAGGTCTATTTCACTTTAAAGAAACTGCTGAACTATGTTCCAAAGTTTCACCATTTAAGCCTCCTACTGGCAGTGGGTGAGATTTCCACTTTCTTCACATTACTTCCCTCTCAGCATGGGGGAGACCAAAAGCCATGGAGCAGAGCCTATGGGGAGAATGAGGCCCACAGCTCTCTTTACAATATACCTTACCTCCTTAGAGGCCACCTTTATGAAACTCTTGGGTATCCTTTTATGTAAAAATTTAAAATTTATGTGACACACACACACACACACACACACACACACACACACATATATATATATATATCATTCAGCATTTTTCAATGAACCATTTTACATATGCTAGCCAATTTGTGTAGTATAAATGGAAAGTATAAAGAATGAAACTCTTGTCCCTACAACACACAGCAAAAAACGGAATTTTACCAGTACCTTTAGCTCCCTGTGCACCCACCCTGACACAGCAAAGACTTCATCCTAAACTGCAGCAGTTTCCTGAGTAGCCTCCAGTCCTGCTTCCTCCAATCAGCTTTACCTATTGCAGCCAGCATGGTCACTAAAACCAAAAATCTAATCACATCATTCTTTTGCTTAAAAATGGTTCCCTTATTCCCACTGGCCTTTGGATAAAGTCCAAGTAAATTACTAAAGCAAGCCCTTTACCACAGGATCTGTCTTCTACTTCATGTCTCATTTTGTGTTCTCTGTCCCTCCAGGTGTCATGCTATTTTTCAAAACATACCACTGTATCATGGCCAGAGAAAATGGCTTTTGTAAGCTCCTTTACTTCCTCAGTATGTACCATTATTATTGGTTGTTCACTTCTGTGTTTCCACCACTTGACCATAAAAGCTTTGAGGATAGAGACTTCATTTGACTCCTCTCTTATCCCTGGGACATAGCAGCTGGCACTATGGATGCTCAGAAGTGGTTGAATGAACAAGTAAATGAATGTTAGGCTCTAGGACAAAGAAGTTCCACAAAAAGTTCCTAGTCTTAGCCAGGTGTAGTGGTGCATGCCTGTAATCCCTACTTTGGGAGGCTGAGACAAAAAGGATTGTAAGACTGAGCCCAGTCTGGGAAATTTAACAATTAATTAAGACTCTACACATAAAAAATAAAAAGGACTAGAGATCAGCAAACTGTGAAGTCCCTGCTACCACACACATACAAGTTCCTAATCTAGATGAATACACAACTGTCCCTCATCTCCACCAGGCATTGGTTCTAAGATCCTAGCAGATATCAAAATCTGCAGATACTGAAGTCCCTCATATAAAATGATATGGTAATTACATATAACCAACATCAGTCTCCCAAATACTTTAAGCCATTTCTAGATGTTATAATACCTAATACAATATAAACCTGTATAAACAATTGCTGTATTTTTTAATGAATTTGCCCTTTTAATTTTTTTTTTTTTATTTATTTAGTACAGGGTCTACAGGGTCTCACTACACAGATTGGACCCATAATGATCCTCCTGTTTTCAGCCTCCCAAGCGCTGGGATTACAGGCATGTGCCACCACACCCAGTCTCAATCACCATCTCAGCATACCCTGGGGACAGAGCCAGCACAGCTAGTGGTGCCAGGGATTGAACCCCCATCCCTGTGTCTGCCTAAGCAGGCACTTTAATCTGCTGAGCTATCTGGCTGGCCCATGTATTATTTAGGAAACAATGACAAGAAAAAAATTGTATATGTTCAGAATAGACAAATTTTTTCTGAATATTTCGATACACAGATATAGAATCTCTGGGTACAGAGGGCTGGCTGTATATAAATAAATCAATCTCTTTGCTAAGTCAACAGCAAACCTGGCAAGGATGGTAGATGTGCATTGGCTTCTAAATCTCACTAGAGGGCACTATGAGCAGGATTCAGAATTTCCTTAAACACTGTTATTCACAGTTTGAATGGATATATGATTTTAAGTGTTTATTGTTGTTTAGTGCTGTGTTTTAATAAGATACCTATTGGGTTCCTGGATTATCTGGGCCACTTGTGAGTTGGAAGGATGCATTTCTTTGAGGAGTAAATGAGAATTTCACCTAACTAGATAGCTCACTGTTAGGTTTAGGTCTAGTTGACCTTCGAAAACCTCATGAGGTCATGTGGCAGGGACTTCTAGAGTTTGAGATAAACTCATGATCCACTGGGATTATTGGTCTTAGTACTGTTGCAATGGGTATGAATACTACACCAAGCCTGGGGAATACAGCCTGAATGCAATTTAAGGGAGACAGACTTCCTCTCTGCTGCCATTGTTGCTGCTACTCCTCCATTTTGCTCCTTTGCTCTTTGCTGCCACTGTGAAAGGTTTTGGTTTCGTGTTCCACTCAGCCTTGGAGCCAGCGTAGTATGGACTGAAACCTCTAGTAACTATGAGCTAAATAAACCTTTCCTTTCTTTATTTTGGGTGTTGGGTATTTGTCCCAGCAATGAAAGAAGAGTAACTGAGACACTCACAATGGTCTCATTAATCTTAAGGTAAATTACAGAGTACTCTATGATGAATATTCTTCAGGCAGTTCTCCATAAATATTATTTCTCCAATCAAAGGTTATCAGAAATATTGACCATGCTGTACTTGCCATAGTATACACTCTGCCAAGTATTGTTAAGTACATTATAGTTAATTTTAGAGGGTCCAAAATGGTGGTTTTCCTTTTTCATCAGTTAAATCCCGAGTGTTGATACTGGACCAACTTGTCTAGAATCTCCAGTAAGAACTGGACACTAACAGCCTTCAGTTACAATACTTGGAATAATTAGAAGGTATTTCATCACATGCCCTTCTACTCTTCATCTATCTTCATTACACTTTTCAGCTTCCATAATAGTGTCGGTTCTACAAATAGCTAGGCTATCAGTGACTGTCAATCAGAATTTGGACACCTGGAGCTACTTGTGCTTTAGGACTCCAACTAGTATTCATTATAGCTCAATACTCATCAAAACTTTGGAATACAGAAATAATGAACGTAATAGAGAATTAATGACCACCATCAAAATTAAAAAGTGTACGTTCTGGGCTGGAGGTGTGATTTTGTGATAAAGCTCTTGCCTAATGTGTAAGAAGCCCTAGGTTTGATCCATAATACTGCCCAAAACAAAACTCAGAAATATATTTTCTTTTTTTTTCACATATATACATGTGTATATTGTTATATCAAAATGTATATACACTTAGTATAATAGAAATAAAAGATACTTAATTTCTTAAGAGATGTTTTTCTGAAAAGTAAACTATTTCCAAAGAATTATTTCAGTAACAAAACATAAAATTTTCTCAACTAACCCAATGCTGTGTCTAAGTTGCATGCTACAAGAACATCTCTGATTGTTACCAGAAGGTGTAAAAGACCAGCATGCTTGAATGTCATTTCTTTTTCATCTGTACCTAAATAAGCAAAAACACAGAAAACATATTACAATTTTAGAACGTGTATTGGAATGCACTTAATAAGAATAAAGAACATGTATTATTATACTTACCTTGGTGAATGGCATCGTCAATTAATTTCTCTTGTTCCTTTAAGAAGAACCTTGTTTGGTCAAAAGTAACAGTGGCAAATTTCCAATTAGCAGCAGGGAGAGTACAGAGGCACACAAGTTTTTTTAAGATAAGAGTAGCTGATGCTTCTAGGAAACAGTATGCTTGACACTGACTAACTGTAAAAACAAAAACATTACAAGTAATGTTTTCATAAGGATGATATGCTGTTTTTGATAGCACACTGAACATGTACCTTCATGGAAACCTGAACTTCTATCCAAATTATTTTGTGAGTTAAAACCAGAGCGTATTAGATAGAATTACATACGGTATTTATTTCATGAACTAGTAAACAAAATCCTCATGTAATTACATAATTATCTAGCTATCTCACTTATTAGCAGAGATTTATTTGATAACTCATTTAACAGGGCAAGTGTGAAGAACCTTATAAAGAGAATTACATAATTTTCTTTTTCCTTCCAATATTAAGTTACAAATTTAAGCCAAATTTCTAACAATGACCAATGTTTCTAGTTTGTTGTTTTTTTTTTTTTTTTTTTTTTTTGGTTTCTAGTTTTCATTGGACTTCTATTAAAGATTTGCTTAATCATTTAGAGATACATAAAATTATATAATACATAACATTTAACCAAAAGAATGAAAAGTTATCTGAGAACTAGTAAATTCTTACCAATTTTAATCATGAGTATGACATTCTTAAGCAAGATATACTTAGGAATCGAAGAATATTCTTTGCAACTGAACAAAAATTTTAATCAATACAGGAACCAAATAGTAACATTTCTACACCCTGATAGTGGGTCAGAGAATAGAAAGAGCAACTGCTAGCAATTCATTTTTCAGACGTGGCAGAAGAGTCTAAGGACCTGAAATTTGTTTTTCTCTGATGAATGTAGGGAGGCAGGAGCAGTTTTAATAAAGAAAGAAGTAACAATTACTAGACTGGAGTAGGGGGAAGGAGTGGGGCAGAGACAGTAAACAGGACATTTTAATTCTGGAAATAACTTGAAAGAAGAGGAATGAAAAACTTCTGAAGTAAATGAAGAATAGAATTGTATGTCTTGATATTCAGGAAAGGGCTTTCAAGTTAAGTAAATGTGAGCGTATTTTAAAAAGCATGCAGCATACCTGATGCTTGAATCTCAATGATATTATCTGCTCCCCTTTCCGGATTCATTTTCTCTACAGTTTTGTTAGTAAAAACAACAAGACTTTCCTCTTTATGAGTCAGTTCTTGATCTTGAAATTCTAACAATAAATATTAATTAGTGTTTTTCAGGAGCAATTTTATTTTATTATTATCATTATTATTATTATTATTTTGTGTGTGTGTGTGTGGAACTGGGGATTGAACTCAGGTCCTTGCACTTGCCAGGGAAGCGCTTATTCCACTGAGCCATCTCCTCAGCCCCTTTCAGGAGCAATTTAGTGTTGCTTTACTTTAATATTTCTATAATTTTTGTTAAATTTCTTCAGTGAAATACACCAGTACAAAACAGAATTATTCCAATCAACAGACCTACCACCATGCCACATAGGAAATGAACGATAAGAACAGAAAGAACTTTGGCAACAGATTACTGCTTTGTCCTTTGTTCTGACGCTAGTCTGAGTATCCTCATATATAAAACATGGACAAATGTACCTACTTTAAATGTTATGGGGTAAACATCATGTACAGTTCCTGACACATAAAAGGTCCAAAAATTTTTACTCATTTCTCTGTGACTTTCTCCACACTCTTCCTTCTGCAACTAGTCCTCTCCTCCACCCAAACCTTCCCTATCTCCATCCTTTCTCAAGTAAGGCAGTTCTTACTGCTCACCCTTCAGTTCTCAAGCACCATCTATATAAGGTCTTACACAGCTGCACACCTTACCCCACCTTCCAGACCTGTAAGTGTCTCTGGTATTTGTTTCCTCAGCCTTCTAGGCATAGTACTGAACTTATCTGGATGTCTAGCTTTTTTTTATTATTATTAATCGCACTGCTAGCATCTCAATGTCAGCAACAGCAGCGTGTTTATTTCTAAAATAGTGTCTGGCACAGAGTAGTCAATAAATCTCTCCTTTATTTCCCTTCTTTTTTCTTTCCTAAGCATTTTCAGAAGATATATATGCCACTGTGTGTGTGTGTGTGTGTGTGTGTGTGTGTGTGTGTGACAACAATAATGTGATCACACATATGATAATTTTACAAATACCATCCTGACATATTTTGACATATGATTTTTTTTTTTTTGTGGTGCCAGGGACTGAACTCAGGACCCTGTGCTTGCCAGGCAAGCACTTATTCTACTGAGCTATCTCCCTGGCCCTGATATATGATACTTAAACACTTAACTAAATGATACATTAACTAAATGTACAATAATGGAGCATATCCTAGGCTTGATTGTATTATTTTTTCAAGCATAGTTTCAATAACTATAAATAATTTGAGCAGATTCAATTAATATTAATTACTGAAATCCTTGAGGTCTAATAATGTATAATATTTCTTCTTAAATCAACCATAAAGACAAAGCAAAATACACTCTTACTAATTATGATTACTGGTTATAATATGTCTCCTTGACTGGATTAAGAAATGCTCAGATTAGTAAGCCCAATTTTGGATGTGTCTCAGTGGTCCTTGAAATCATTACATAGCCAAGACTGGCCTTGAGCTCATGGAGATCGTCCTGCCTCACCCTCCAGGTGCTGAGACTGCAGGTGTGCATCACACCTGGCTCTTCTTTTTTTATCTTTTAAGCAGCTTTCTTATGCCATGGCCTCCCACCATGATGTTCCCAACTTGTTAACCAATTGCAGACTGAATCTTCTGAAGGCATGAACCAAACAAACTTTTCCTTTTTTAAGCTGTGGATGTCAGGTAATTTTCCCATCAATGGAAAACTCATTAATAAAAAAAAAGTTGGAGAACCAGGCATACTTTGAGAGTCAAATAGCTTGCTAACTACACACCAGTTTTAGGCAGAGTTGCCCATCCAGTCCTAGGACATGCCGGATTAGCATAGAATTCCCTTTGGGAAAAGAGTTGTGACCTAAGAGAAACTGAAGATACGTTCCTCCTGGGAGTTTATTAATCCAAGTTTATGCCCAACTTGTATTTTTGAAATTTACAATTTAGACAATTCCTTCCACCCTTTATAGGGAAAAGGTATAAAGTAGCAAAGAAGCCAAGAGCATAACACCAACTGAGGAAACATAAGGAATATTAAAGCATTTCCATCTAACACTAACATGCTTTGAATTCCTTAGTAAATGAATGGTCTATTTTTATTTAAAAAGTCTTTATATTTTTTCACCTTTCTTGTTAATTTTCTGTATTTTATGTTACCAATATATCCTATAATAAACTGTTATCACAATAGCAACCAGAAAAAGATGTCAGTGCTAATTTTAGAGTGGATTCTCTTTCAAATCCAAATATGAACTGACTTTGAAAATCTTAACAAATCAGAAAATAACAGATCTTTAAAACTTTCAACTTTTATAAGCATTATTTATAATTCTTTATATTTTGCTCCTTTTACACAAAAGCTATCTTTGAATTATAGTATAAATGTTTGTAAGAATGATCTCAGTTACATATAGAATTGTCACCTAATAAGGTAAGTTATAAGGCAGTTAAACTACTATGTAAACACTTTAATTCTTGAATTTAAAAATACTTCTCTAATTTCAGAGCCTTGACTTTGTGTTTACCTAATCACTCCACATAGTGTCCAAAACCCCTAAAAGGGTACTTTACAAGGTATACTGCAAATTGGTATGCAATTCCCTATTCATCTGCCCAGAATTAGGAATTTGGGAGTTTTCTTTATATTGGATGGGGGAAAGGAGGGAAAGAACTGATATTTTAATATTTAATCTTTCTTAAGTCATTATTAAATGGTGATTTATTTTTAAGGATACTAAAACCTGGGCAGTTTTATTACATAGCTATAGGATACTGGCTAAAATAATTTAAAAGGTGGTAATGGAGAAATTGAACTTATGACTATAGAGACCAGGTTTGGAAAAATACTTTCAATACAATTTAAATACAGGAAGACATCACACACACACACACACACACACACACACACACACACACACACACAAAAATACTGCTCTGCATTTTCACCAAAATATTCACCATGAAAAATGCACTGACTGACAGTAATACAACATTAAGTCGATCTATAAAAGGCTGTCATAACTTTAGGAAAAAATACATGCAACCACCATGACATTATGAACTGAGATTATTCACAGGGCATGTAGGAGAGTAAGTCCTAATTATGCTCTAAATCATGTAAATATTTGTGCATTTATTTCATCAGGGCAATGCCCATCAAAATTATTCTAGAATACCTTTTTTTTTTTTTTAGCAGAAATGAAACGTTTTAACATACTATACTACCTGTAATGTGGTTGGAAGCAGGAAACATGACAATTACAAGTCCAGTAGAAACTGTTTTGTAACATTAGAAAGAGTAATAAGCACAAAAAAATGAGCAAAGGAAGTCTTAAGTCACATTAAGATGAAAGTTAAACTACTGATATAGGGCTATCAGTGAAAAAAGAATGGCAGAATGACCAACAAAAATTAAAAATTTGACTACATTGTAGAAAGCAAATTGTGTAAATAGTGGGTCTTGTTACAAATTCAAATGCACTTTTTAATTTTTTGGAAAACATCTAAATCTAAATCTGTATTATCTCCACATACAAGAATTTTTATAAATCAATGGCATTTCCTTTGACTATGAAAAATAATATAATTTTATCCAAGAGTTTTATATCTTCGTCTTCTATAATATATCATGCACTTAGTTTTTGAACCCATCAGATCAATGTTAAAATATTACTAAATTACCTACCATCTTTTTTATCATGGTCTATAACTTCAGCCTTTGAAGTACAAGTCTTATATTTACTTCGTAGCATAATAAAGTTGCTTAAAAGGTCCAAATCATTCTCCTGTTTTTTACCATGTTCAAAACATGTTTTTTCAATTCTTGTAGAGGGAGATGATTCAATAAATGGTACAGTGTGGTCAAGTTCAAGGTGATCTTTGGCTTCTTCCTTTTGATTTATTTGGTCAATTATTTCTTGATCATTCTTTAGCTTTTCTTCATTTTTTGGTGTTTCAATAGAGATACATTCATCAGATAAACTCATATCTGTTACTTTACTTGCCAGAGATGGACTCTCTTGTGGAAGTGATATATGGTCTTGTGTAAACTTCTCATTAATAAGTGCAAAAGGTAAGGAACGACTTTTATGTTCTGGATAAGCTGAAAAAAAAAGAATTAAAAAAATACTGAGAATTGCTTCCATGCCTTAAAAGAGCATTCTATTAGGAAATTAGTGCCACATTTGTTTCTTATTAACATAACTTGATCATGAGGAATATTTTGTTTATTGTTTAAAAAATCAATTTTGGTCTAAATAAAATAAAAACTTAAAAATATAAACACTTACATAATAAGCTTGTAATGGGTCACAGTCTTAGAGTTAATGGTTCCTGAAAACTTAGGTAATAGGTAAGCCACAAAACGAGAATAAAATACTTGATATGTATAAAGCTGACAAACGAATTGTATCCAAAATATATAAAGAACTCTTATAACTCAATAAGTAAAAGAAGTTCAATTAAAAATTGGCAAAATAGAGATCCAGTCCTAGCCCAGGCCCGGTGAGTATGTGGGAGAGCTTCCGGCTACCCTGCGCCTGTGGGACCTACTGGTCCCACCCCAGGTGCAGCATGGGTGAGCCCCTCTTTCACGCCTTTGGGACACCCCCCAGCACTCTGTAGTACCCCCCAACCCTGAACACCGAGTGGGAATTTCTGTCATGTTCCGGGAACCCCCAGATCCAGTCCTAGCCCAGGCCCAGTGAGTGTGTGGGAGAGCTGCCTCTCTCCCCTACTCCACCTTGTCCCCTCCAGACTCAGCTCAGGCCTGGCATACAGGCCTGGGGTGAAACCCTGCAGCTGCAATCCCTGAAGAGAGTGTAGGGGACAGAA